AGAGGATTTCTGTTTTCCTTTGTAAGCTTGGGAAAAGTGCATCTAAGTCTTGTCTGGAAAGAGAACCTTCTGGAAATCCATCCCTCCTTTGCTGCCTCGCCAGCTCCTTCCCTCTCCCTCTCCTTACCCAAGCAGTGTGGCAAGAAGGTGGCAGACAGGCCTGGGTTCAAATGACTTCTGAGCGTCTGACCTTGTGCGGGTCACATCCCTCTCTGAGTCTTAGTTCCTCCACTATCCATTGAGATAGTAACCTACCTCGTTGGGTTCTTGTGATGATTATATGTATTAATGTATTAAAATCCTGAATATGTAGAGCTTAATAACCATAAGCTGTAATTTTCTTCCTCTTCTGTAGCAGTCTGGAAACCTTGACCTGCCTTCCTTTCATTTGGCTTTTTTGATAGGTTATTATCTCCATTTTACAGATGGGGAAACTGAGGCACAGACAGGTTAAAGTAATTTAACACACGGCGTCACACAGCTTCTAAATGACAGAGCCTGGATTCCTACCTTGCAGTCTGACTCCAACATTTTTACCCACTAAGCCACTGTTATGTTGTCCCAGGGCTCTGGTGGGCTGGCATAGGGGCGTGCATGTGCCCGTGTATGCTCACAGCTCAGAGCCCTGCCCGCATGGTTGTCTCTAGCTGACCCCCTTCCTGACCCTCCCCACCATAGGCGGCTCCCTCAGACCATCAATGGCCCCAGCTTTTTCTGGGGCCCTGCTCTGGGTGGAGTGTATCTCCCCACCACTACACCATCCCCCTCACCCTGGCTTCACCTAGGCTGCTGTGAAAACTTGGTGGTTTCCATGGATATCCGTCTCCCTCTGGCGACACGCCCTTCTTGGTATAACTCTGTTCCCTAGAGTTGATTGTTTTTGGCACACAGCTTGGTAAACTCATCCAACAATTAAAAGGGGGGAGGGGTGGAGCAAAGGAGGCCAGAGTACCTGGGGTGAGTGACACGCCTGGAGGGGCCTCTGGGCTCTGGGTCCCCTCTCTGTGCCCAGCGGCAGCAGGAGAGAGCCTTAAGTGCAGAAAGGCCGTGTAACCAGCTGGCGGGAAGTTCTGTTTACGGGAGTTCTGAGAACTCCACGGTTCGTTTCCTTCCATTCGAGCTGTGTTCTTGCCCTATTTCTTCTCCCTCAGAAATTTAAAGGGGTCCATTGGCGGAGCCAGATTAGCCATCTCCAGAGGCCACCTGAAGCCGTGAGATGCCAGCTTGGACCGATTTGAACATTTTCTGCCCTTGTTTTGGTTAATTGTGAGTGTGTTTGCTCTGTTTGTGTACCATCAACTACCTACTGCGCTGGGCGTACCCATCAGAGGCTGTGTGAGATCACAGATGAAAAATGCAGTGAAAAACACTTTCGTGCCACAACACATCATGTAGGATTTTTGTATTAAGATGTGGATTTTTTTATTGTATTTTTTTTTCCTTTTCCATACAGCCCTGATGTTGGGCAATGTGCATGTCTGTGTTTTTGTTTTCACTCTGGGTGGTTTATGAAATCTGCTCATTAGGGTTCTGTCATCTCCCACCACAGCCTGATCTTCCGCCCCTTTATCGTCTCAGATGTAGATCTTTCCCCACCACCTCCCAAGGTCTTCCCTCCTTTGGGGAGATGATGGGCACCTTCCCCGTGTACATTCAACCAGATAAAAATCAGGGGTTCCTGTGACCTAGCAGAAGGTCTCAATGTCAGGGATGCAGAAACCTCTGTGCCCCCCCACCCCCACCCCCACCAAAGGATAAAGCCCCTTGTCTGGAGAGAAGACACGGGACCTCTTGACTTAGAGCGGCCCTCTCCTGGGTGGCCTTATCAGAGAATAGAAGGCACCCAGCTGACTAGCATCATTCGTTCCCACGTAGGCCCATTGGCAGAGGGTGAAAACCCCTCATCTGGTATGCCCTCCACTCCCAGCATGCTCCCTGGCCCATGGTAGGTGCTCAGCCAATTCTTACTGGAATCAGTTGGAGGAGGATCAAGTAACCAAGTGGCCCCCTTGAACCTGAAAGTATTAATGGAGGAGAGGAGAGAGACCAGAGTGCAGGTTGGGGCTTGGAGGTACTAAACTGAACGGAGCGTAAAAATAGCCGGCAGAGTATGCTGTCGTCGGAGGGGATGATGCTCACCAGCACATCTGATTCTGACATGAAATCGGGGATTAGTTCAGTTCCACAGACACTGACGCTGCCCACTGTGGGCCAGCTGTTGTGCTAAATGCTGAGGGCACAAAGATAATTAAGACCTGGTTTCTTCTCTTGCGGGGTTAAAAAGCCAGTGGTGGAGACAGGCTCATGAACAAATGACTTTAGTTCAGTATGGATTTAAATGCCTCACTGAGGTTGCATGAGGGGCTGGAGATGGACATCTGGGCTTGGCTGCAGTAGATTCTGGAAGATTACCTTAAAGAGACGTGGAAGAAGAGGGTGGTGGCAGTTAAGAACATTTCTGGGGCACTGTTAACACCTTTTACATCTCCTATTGACCCCCCACCATGTCTGCTAGGAAGGAGGAGAAGGTGTTACATCTCCATTTGACCAGTGAGGAAGCTGGGCCTTAGGAGATTCAATGGCTTGTCCCAGGGCCCATGGTGAGTTATGTGGCAGAACTGGGCCTCAGAACCATGTCTTCTGATTCTTGGACCAGTGTTATTTCTTTAACTGCACTTGGCTTCTCACCCCTTCATCCTGGTCCTGCTGGCCAGAGAGCTGCATCCTCTGACCGGGATTTCTGCCGTGCCCGCAGCCCCAGGGCCTGTGCTGTGGGAGGGCCCGTCCATGGCAGGCCCTGGAGCCTGTCCCCTGGTTTGGTAAATGGGTCAGGCCACTTGGTTGGGGACAGTCCCTGAGCAAGGCCACACCCTGGCAGGGCTGGAGGAAGGCAAGAATGGGGAAGATTGAGGACGGGGAGCCACGCCCTTTACTTAGTTCTTGCTGCTGAAGCTGAGAAGAAGCTCCCTCTGCCCTGAGCAGGCCCCTCCCTCAGCTGGAGTAGGCCAGACAAGGCCCTATCAGGGCCTAGAACCCTCTCTTCTCCTGTAACTGGAACCCCCTTCTGAGCCAGGACATGAGACCCTGGTAGTGTTCAGTCACCATTTGTGTGTAGTCAGACTCGGGAGCCAGAGAGCTGGGAGTGTTTCTCTTGACCATCTATCTGGGGAGACATGTATGCCTAGAAGTGGGAAGTGTCAGGAACCTGGGTGAGGTGCAGCTTTCAGATGGGCCTGGCGTTGTTCTGACAGTCGGGGTATGGAGTACAGGCCGCAGCAGGAGTGTGCTGGGTGTGGGGAGCTGTGGGTGGTCCTAGGCACCCTTCTTCCAGCTCAGAGCTATTGGTTGGGTAGTAGGTTACTCAGGGCTTTGGGGTATTCTGGACCAACAGGCAGGGGAGTGTCAGAGCCCAAAGGAGTGAGTCTCCCAGTGGCCCTGAAGTTCCCATTAAAGTGTTTTTTCCTCTTTTTTAAAGAAAAAAATATTCCCAAACTGGAAAACAAAGGAAATCCACTTCCCCCAAATCACACGAAACTCACATTAGGGGCCTGGCGGGAATCCATGGAAACCAGGAAACCCGCTGTTAACCCTGTTCGGTGCTGCATGGTGGGGTGGGAGCTGGGCCGATCTGAGCCCAGGACCGCTGTTGCTGGCCCTCCTTGATGCGTCCCCCGGGAGCTGGGTCCGCGGCACTGCCCCAGAGCAGAGCTGGGTGGAGCTGATGCTGGCAGCTCTCACCTCCACTTGTGGCCTAACCTGGGGAGGCAGGAGAGGAGGGGTTCTGCGCTGCAGGGAGCCCAGGGGATCTGAGGGCTGGGCCGAGCTGCAGAACCTGCTGGGTAGCTGCCCACACCATGCCACATCGCGGAGTCAGGGCTGAGCCTACTTACACACTTCAGGAGCATTCAGGCCCTGTGGATGCTGCAATCCCTGGGCCGAGCAGGCAGGAATTTCTGCCACCACCCTCCCTGATGCCAGCCCCGTACGAAGGGTGGGTGGGAGGGTGACAGAGATCCCCCCACCACTGCCCCAGGTTCCTGCACCTCACTCTCATGACCAGGAGGCTGGACCTCCAGGCCTGGGGAGGTCAGGTGGTGTGTTTGTGTTTGCACGCACACAGGCTAATTTTTCCAAAAAGGCTGAAAATATTTACAGGTTTGAAGTTGAAACGCAAACAGGAAAAGCCCTTTAAAAAGTGAGTGTAATGGATATTCAAAACAGGAATCACCATGGAAACACCACAATATTTGCTTAAATTGATACAAAGGTTGCTGGTAGCGGGGCACCAACTTTCTCTGACCACATTTTTTTTTGGCCCAACACCTATCACAAAGCAATCTCAGCATCCCCCTTTCGGGGTGTTTGCTCACTCACTCTTTTCTTTTTCGTGGGATGAAACAGCACAGGGCCAGAGAGGAGACAGGGAAAGGCAAAGCGAAAAAACCAAATTCGCCATCCTGGGTAGCTGCAGAGGCACCTGTTGGTTCCATTTTTAGAGACTCCCACAAGGCCAACCAGCGGGGCTTGGGAGCAGCTGGTAGCTGGCCCGCGGGAAAGTCAGGGGGGAGCAGGAGGTTGGGGAGCCCAAAGGTTGGTTCAGTTGTGTGGGTCTGATCTGGTTTCCAGGGTCGGCTTCATCCATCTTCAGGCTGACCTTTCACCCTCGGTGCCGAGCCCCGGGTGCCATCGCTGTTGTTACCTGGGTGGCATCTGATTGGCCTGTTATTGTTTCTACCTGCTTGATTCTTCTGTTAGGTGTGACAACTACCTAGCAGTTGGCTGATAACTGTGCAAAGGGTGCACTGTTCGTAGGGTCAGGCATAGCGTGAATCACAGCAATGCCATCCTCTGACTAGAAGGCAGGATCCGAGAATGTCTCACCTTGCTGGCTGTTACCGCTCAAAGTGTCAGCAGGTGCCAACCTTCTGCTGTCCTCTCTGGAGTAGTTTGGCGGGTCTCAACTGCAGCCTAATGGTCTGTTTTCTTTCTCATTTTGGTAGGCCAACAGACCTCGCTGACTGAAGGCAAAGACACCATCCAGCCCACCTGCCCTTCCACCTGCTGCGGTCCTCAGCCCCTGCTGTCGAAGGGGGTCCTGCAGCTCAGAAGTGTGCATTGGTTGGAATGGACTTTGGATCCCAGCCTCTTGAGATGCAAAGGTAGCTGTTCCCGATCCGCAACATGTGACTGGGAAACGTGAGTGGGGGTTCTGGTAGGACAGTTTGGGGGTTCCTCCTTAGGGGAGGGACTGTGCAGGCCTTTTTCAGTGGGTTCTGACCTACATGGTGTTTTGCTCAGGCATCCTCAGCAAAAGTGAGAAAATGTGGGATGGAGGAAGGAGCCCTGGCCCAGGAACAGGGTGCCTGCATATTGGCCCTGGCTCTGCCATCGACCCGCCGCTTTCCCCCTTTGGGTCTTAATTTCCTCCCCATAGAGGAAAGAGTGGGAATACTTGACCTTTCAGAGCCCTCCCAGCATTCCCACTGCATGACATTGGGTGGTGCCAGCAGCGTGCAGGTGAGGCCTGTGTCCCAGCAGATGCCACTCCTGGGCTAAACTTTGGGTCATTTGTGAACATCAGCTGTGGGAACAGTCCAGCCAGTGTGCATGCCCAGAGGCTGCTGCTGCTCCGCTCTGAGTTCATGTGTGACTGCTGGGGTTCTCTCAGGTGGACCTCCAGCCCAGGCGGGGCCCTTCTTAGAGGAGAAACCACAGGTGTCCTTTGATACAGGCTTGAAATTGCCCCTTGCCTGAGGCAAGTCACTTGTGCTGGGGATGGGACTTCTAGTGGGGCTGGTCTGTCAGATATTTACCTGTAGGTATTAAACGTGGCAGTTCTTGGGGCGGGGTTGATACACAGTGGGTGACTCACCACACATTGGTCATTATTCAGTGCTCCCCTAAGACCCCAAGGGAAGGCAGCCCAGAGGGGTCGGGTGTTGGTAAAGTTAATGGGCAAGGTGTTAGGGTGGGGGCTGAGGCTTGAGGGCCCAGAGAACGGCTGGGAGAGCCAGGCCGGGAGCTGCTCCTCCCACATATGCCACATGGGAGCCAGCAACAGGGCTTACCCACCTACGCGGTCCTCCCCATGGGCGCCACGGACAGGCGTGTCCTGCCCCTCCCTCTGTGCCCAGGCTCTGCAGCTGTGGACTTTGAGCCTGCCGGGAGGAGGCACTTGTGGAGACGGGTGCCGTGGTGCCCACCAGGGCTTGAGAGGTCCCCAAAGCCGTCAGCCTGCCTCATTTCAGGCCGTGCCACCTGGGGACTAGCAGAGCCTTGGATGCGGCCCAGGGATTTGCAAATCAGATGTAAATGTGGCCTTTGGTGGTTATGGTGGGGCAACCATGTGGCTGAGACCTTTCTTCCTGGTGTCTAGAGTGTGATCACGCTCCAGGAATTACTCTGGCCCCACGTGTGCCGTGCCGCTGCTGTTCCCTGCTGGCAGTAGGACTGTTTATAGAGGGTGGGTTGCACAGCTGTCCTGGTGGGTTTTTCGGCACCAGCACCTATATGTCTGTACACCTCCTGGGGCTCTTTTTGCCCAGTTCTGCTTCTTTGATGGTCTTGGGTCCTGGAAAGACAGGCCCATGCGTCTCAGAGCCTCTGGATGTCTCCCCAACCCCACCTGTGCCTCGCGCGTGAGCAGACGGTCACAGTGCCTGTGGAGCCCTCTTGGAGGGGGGAATGTTTGCCTGTTCTGTTTTCAGTGGCAGGCCTTTTGTTTTCTTCATTCCCTCGGCAAAACATGCCCATTAGTTTTTCCCTTTCCGAAGTTTCCACTCACTGTTGGCTCCCAGGAGCCAGACCAGCTGGGATTTGCACCCGGCCTCGGGTATGGGCTCACTGAGTCCTGCGGGACTCCCGCATCCTGGCATCAGCCATCTTGGGCTTGATAGTGAAGCTTGGGAACTCTGAGGGCTCTGGAAAGGAATGGCTGAGTCCCTCTTCTTCACCCAGCCCTTTCCAGGCACAGGGTTTGGCCACAGGCTGGGGTCCTCTGTGCCAAGGGTCGTCTGTGGTCTCAGGACACTGTGGTAGGACACTGAGGGGAGAGCCCATGCTCGGGCCTGGTCCGCAGGCCTGATCCTGGCTGGCTCAGAGGCTCCCCATTTCTGGCTATGCCGTAGAGGATCTTGTTACATTTATTCAACAGTTCTGGAGGGCCTGGTGTCTGCCAGTCACTGGGACAGAGTGAACAAGGCAACTCTGGCTCTCGTGGAGTCTCGGTTGGGCAAGCAGACAATAAACAAAGCCACAGAAAGAACAAGGAAACCATGAGTGCCACATGGAGAGAGGATGAGGTGGAGGGAAGTGACTGGGCAGTCAGAGGAGGCCTCTTGGTGGAGGTGACACCTGAGATTGAAGGATAGGGAGTAGACAGCCATCTGAAAGCAGGTGGAAGGATATTCCAGAAAGAGAACGATTCATCTAGAGGTCTCGAGGTGGATGAGCTCAGGACACTTGGTGAACAGAAAGAACGTCCCAGTGGCTGGGAGGTGGATGGGGCAGGCGCCAGGGTATGTAGGCCTTGGAGTGCCTGGAGAAACTGGGATTTTATCTATGTGACAGGAAGCTCTAGAGGGTTTTAAGCCAGAGAGTAAAGTGATCTGATTCTTGTTTTAAAAAGAGGGCTGGGGCTGCCATGGGGCAAAGGATCGGAGGACGGCATGGGGAGAAACCAGGAGGCCAGACGGGAGGCTGCTGCTGCAGCCACCACCAGAATGAGAGGCCATGGCTGAGACAGGAAGGTGGAAACAGAGAGAAGAGGGCAGGGTCCGTGCATTCAGAGGGAGGACTCGCCAGTGGATTGGATGGTGAAGACTCCAGGGTGACTCCGGCATTCTCGTCCCCCTGACCTGTGACCCTGCATCACCTCCTCTCTCGCGCCCTAACCTGGGCAGTGCCGAGAGTGACCCCTGGCTTTCAGGGGCTGACATCTTATAGCTTGGCGAGCCCGCCATCCTGGACACTGCTGGTTGCTCAGAAAGCACCCCCTTGTTTAAGTGGCTTGGGCACCTCACAGTCAGTACCGCATGGAGGGAAGGCCAGAGTCCTGCTTATCGCCGGCTCTGTTTTCGGCAGAGGCTTCCACGCTTGCTACCTTTTGGCCCTAATACTCTGCACCAAAGCCCATTTTGTGCCTCCGCTCTGTGGATTCTGTGCTGGGTGTGAGGTTGGGCCTAGAAGCTCATACAGGTCCTCTCAGTGTGGCTCTACATGTGACGTGTGTCTCAAGAGTGGAGCTTCTGCCTGCTTTCTCCTGTGTGCACAGACACACAGAATCAGAAAGTGGGTCTTTTAAAGACCTCCTCATTTCCACGGGGTCTGCTTAGCCTCCAGTCCCAGCTCCTGGGCAAGGATCCTAGCATTCTTTCCACGTGGAAAGTCTGCACTTCATGGTGTGCATTGCCATAAGTACCCCATCAGATTTGACCTGGGCCACGGTGCCTTTTTTCAATGCCTCTGACACAAGGCTCCACTCTCCTGGGTTTTGGTGTCATTTTCTTGGGCCAGGACAGGGCAGGTGATCCCAGCAGTGATGCTATGATAGCAAAGTGATGCATGACCGCTCTGGGCAGACCCTGAGCAACCCGAACAGCAGGCCAGAAGCCTGGCTGGAGTGAGCATGAAGCTGTTGCAGCCAGCCATGGGGGCCCCAGTGAGTTCTTGCCCATGCTGGCAACATATTTCCAGCCATATGGGCCAGCTCAACCCTCTAGGAAAGCTCTGGAGGCATGAGCTCCAGGGGCAGTGATAGGAGGGAGTAGAAGGGCAGGCTGGCAACATCTTGGGGGTTGGGGGTGTGACAGGGATGTCCCAAGTGTGCAGCTGGTACCTCTGCCTGGCTCCGAGGGGGATGTTAGCCAGTCTTCCTGGGTGTGTCTGCGAGCATCAGAGCACTGGGTGAACCCTGGCGGAGGGTGTGTCTGGGTGGGCAGGCATGTGTCTGTGCATGCGGGGGTGGCTCTTCTGCTCTCTGCCTCCATGGCCTGCCCCAGATCCACGGCCTTCACTTGTAACTGGACTGGACAGTTCTAAGTCCATCCTCTGGGCCTTTGATATGCTGTGGGGTTGGCCGCTCCAGAGCATGCAGCTGGGTGGGGGTGCAGAGGGGCAGGAGAGGGAGAGGGAGGTGCCGACTGAGGGGAGTAGGGGCCCAAGTCCCCCGCCACCCATGGGTGACACTGTGCTGGGAGGAGGAATGGCTTCCAGGGTCACCGCCCCGTTGGGCTGGGCCGAGACATGACAGAGAGATGGTTTGGGAAGAGTTGCTGCTTCTCCTGGTCTCCAATCTGTGTGCGAATTCTGCCTGATGTTGCTGACCCCCACCTTGGGCCCCTCCCCAGTTCTTGCTGGTGCCTCCTGCCTTCCCACCAGAGTCAGGAAGGCCCTGGGTTCCACTGGGCATGACCAAGGGTAGAGGGATTGGGAGGGGCTAGCAGTGCCTGACCTGTCTTCAGCTACCTAGGGGCCTCTCAGCATTTGACGATGTGGTTGCCACAAAGGGGACAATGGCCCACGGCCTTGGGGACAGCCCTCGTCTTGTGCAGGAGGGGAGAAGCACCTCTGCCCTGCCTCTGTCCCCAAGACCTGGGAGCCTCCACAGGGAGACATTGGAGAAGCAACGTGGAGCTTCACATGCTGGAGGAATTCAGGGGCTGTGCACGCTTTGCCTTCTCTTGGAGACCTTCGGTTCTCCCTCCCCTCCCAGCCTCTCCCAGTCTCTTTTATCCGGAAATCTGCGCAGTAGAGACCTGGTCCAGGTGCAAGTCCTCCAGCCCAAAGCACACCACCCTGAGGTGTGAGGCAGGAAGGAGGGACACTCGTGGATGTGCCCACCTGGGCCACCCCACACTACCGGCTGCTTGACTGTCAGATCAGCTCTGGACGTGTTCCTGTCCTGCCGCTCACCACTCAGGTTTTCTCCCCGTTTGGTTTCTCTGCCTCCCGGGAGCAGGAGCCTCTTCTGACCCTGAGCCTTCTTATGGTTGCCTGGGGTGGGGACCTCTGTGGCCAGGGCAGGTGACAGGAAGGAAGGTGTAATTAATCACTAGTTTTTTCTCCAGAAATGCTAATCGGGAAAAGCAATTAAAAGCAACTTTTTTTCCCTTAGTAATCTGTGTTAAGAGCTGGTAATGAAGTTTAGGGCCATTGTGACTCAATATTTCAGCTTCACCGACTCAAGTCAAAACAAT